GGTAAATTCAAGTCAAAACTTCGCAAGCTGTTCAGCTATTGAGAACAAATCACCTGTACCTGCCATCACTAAAGATTTTACAGAAAGAGATTTGCAAACCACTGAAGATATCACAGAACGTCCTGTAATAACTGAACTCTCAGAAGTTTCAGGTCAAGATGAACCTTTCTTTGCCAGTCAGGATTCTTATTATGACCTACATGTCGACTCTGAATATCCACCAGGCAAGGACACAGATATTATTAGCATGGATGATTCGTTTAGTTCAGACTCGGACTCTTCATCAAGTAACAATGATTACAGCTCATCTGAAACAGAGGCAACATCTAGTGATGATTCAGACTTCGATGATCATGAAGATCAATTGCAAACGGCACCTACAGACTCTGTGAAGGAATTCAGTGAAAAAGAAAAACTTAGTGTACTGATCCTGTCTTACATTGCAAAACATAAATTGAATGGTTCTGCTTCTGTTGACCTTTTAGAGCTTCTAAAACTAATTGCCCCAAAAGACAACAATCTACACTCTTTGACCCTCAGTGAAATCAAAGAAACACTTGGTGACTGTCTCACAAATATCTATGACTATTGCAGCAAGTGTTTCTCTATCTTTCCAAAAGATGAGAATATCTACCAGTGCAGTACAACAGATGGCAAAGGAAAACAATGTTCTGGATTGCGCTATCGCGGAAATGTAAGAAATCAGGCTAAAAAGGAGAAAAACCTATATTTTGTGACTATTTCTATGGAGCAGCAGTTGGGCACACTTCTGCAACACAGTGGTATATGGACAAAAATCCAGCTGTACAAAAAGTTACCAAATTGTCTAAATATCAGAGACATTGTCGATGGAACAGAGTACAAGAAATATAAACAAAGTGGAGGATTTCTAACCGATGAAGATAATTTAACTTTGCTTTTCAATACAGATGGAATTCCTTTGTACAAGTCTTCAAAGGTCAATATATGGCCAGTTTTTCTTGCTATTAATGAACTGCCCCCAAACGAACGGTTTGTAAAGAAAAATATGATTCTCTGGGGACTGTGGCAGGGGAAAGGAAAGCCAAGGTTTTCAACATTTTTTGAAGTGTTTACTGAAGACCTTATCACTTTAAAGCACGAAGGTTTAACTGTGACAGATAAATGTCATCCAAAGCTGATGCTGTCATTGGGAAGCACAGACTTGCAAGGAAAGGCTTACCTTTTGTCTATGAGTCACCATAATGGTGAATGTGGCTGCAGTACTTGTGAGGAAGAAGGTTTTACTACCAAACAAGGGAAAGGGCATGTGAGATGTTACCCTTTCCGAGACCCACCTGCTACTTTACTCACCAGTGACAGTGTACTGGAGAATGCCTTGTCTGCATTGGAGAGTAATAAGAGAGTGAAAGGCATTTATGATGTTACTCCACTGGCAAAACTCCCTTGGTTTGACCTAGTGCTTGGAATAGTTCCAGACTACATGCATGGTGTATTACTGGGAGTAACAAAGCAGTTGCTGAACCTCTGGTTGTCTTCATCAAAATATAAAAAGCCTTGGTTTATTGGAAATAAAACAAAAGCTATTGACAAGAGACTAAAAGAAATGAAACCCCCGGATTTTATTCAAAGACTTCCAAGACAACTGGAAACAAGTCGTGCCTATTTTAAGGCATCTGAACTACAAGCATGGCTACTTTATTACTCAGTACCATGCCTTATTGACATTTTACCTGAGAGGTATCTTCAACATTTTGCTTGCTTGGTGGAGGGTGTTTACATTTTGCTTGGAGACAATATAACTCCAGAGTTACTAGCTATGGCTAGAGATCTTTTGTTCAGGTTTTATAAGGATCACCAAGTCCTTTATGGCGATAGCAACTGCAGTCTTAATGTGCACAATGTTGTAGCTCACCTTGCCATGTATGTGCAGTCTTGGGGACCACTTTGGGCATGGTCATGCTTTCCCTTTGAAGATTTGAATGGAACCTTACTAGAGGGTGTTCATGGAACTGGAAATCAGTGTCGGCAGCTTATCTGGATGTTGTATGCACAAAATAGCCTGAGAGCTAATTGCCATTTAATTCCTGATGTTACAATACAACAATTTGTGGAGCGTATGCTTTCTGGAGAGAGAAGGTTGCGAAATGTGAAAAAGGCTGCAAACTGTCAAATTGCTGGAGCTTTAAGAAGATGGACAGCCGATGACGATATCTATGAACAAGCCTGTTTATTAATTGACTTAAACTGTATCCGCAGACCAATTTTTCAGGTGGCTAAACGTGTTATTGTTAATGGACATATTATTTATTCAAGACTGTACGAAAAGATGAAAAAACATTGTGGATATGCAGTTCTTATTGAGCACAATGGAGGGAACTTCATGGCCTATGTGCAGTATTTTCTGTATGAAAGTAATTCAAAAACTGTTTTTGCGGTTTTAAAGCGTATTATTTTAGATCTTGAGAACCCCTTTCTGGTGTCTGACAAGCCACGCCATCTCCTTCGAACTGCAGGTGAAGAGCAAAGGCACACTGTGGTGCTGGTGGATAGCATTCTTGAAAAAGTTATATGTCTGACCGGAAATTCAAACCACATGTGTGTATCTCGGGCTCCCAATTTCTGTGGCCATTGTCGTTGACTATTAGTATTTTCATTAGGGCAGGTGTAGATGATTTTTTTACTGTGCAAATCTGGAAACGGCGAACACTTTCATTAAATTTTTAATGGCTAAAATTACATGTACATGTAATGCGGATGTATTTGCATAAAATAGCCAAGGTCAAACATCTATTAAGCAGTCTCCCTTGGGTGTTAGCCAACTGACCGCTTAAAGTGTATATGACAGATATTTTTTTATTTGCTTGATGAAATCTACATGGCATTCTGATAAGAAAATCGAAAAGAGTTTTTTCGATATCGTACTTCTTTTCCATGTTTTAGCCATCCAAAAACGTGAAATTTCACTTCCGGTGTGTTACAAAACCGCGCAAGAAGAAAGACTGGAAATAGTCCGCTGTGACATCAATACAAGAATGCCGGTGTCGCGGCTTCTCGGTTCCTCACATTTTTTTGGTGCGCTCTGAGGAAGAAACATGGTTCTACTGAGGTGTGTTGTCTATGGTTGTAGCAATACGCACCAAAAAACGGAGGAACTAAGAAACCGCGATACTGGCATTCTTGTATTGACGTCACAGCGGACTATTTCCATTCTTTCTTCTTGCGCGGTTTTGTAACCCACTGGAGGTGAAATTTCACGCTTTTAAACGGCTAAATCACGGACAAGAAAAATCGATATGGAAAAACTTTTTTCGACTTTCTTATCAGAATGCCGTGTAGATTCCATCAAGTAAATAAAAAAATATCTGTCATGTACACTTTAAAAGAGGGAGCATTTACATTAAATATGGGGCTTTGTTAAGTGACTACTCAACAGAGGGCTGCTTGCAGTTTGAGCTCTCATTTGAGGGCTACATGTACCTAAAGGAAATTTCTTCTACATCAAATTAAGCAATGATCTGCATAAGAAGGAAAGTGCTAATGGCAATGCACGATGCATGAAATGTCACCTTTTTTTGTTACAAATAGTGATCTCACTGGCCAAGACTCAAAAACCCCTAAAAAGTTAAAATTTAAGGTGCATTTTGTCTGATGTTTTAAAGGTTTCAAGTAATTTAAGACCCAATTGCACAACATGAATTGTATTTGCAGAACTTCATCAAAGAAGCAAAATTATTAGCTATTGTCTTCTGCTATTCTGATTGGTTAACCACAAACATTTCCTAACATTTATTTGATGCAAATGGTTTTCTTTATTTTTATACTCTTTCCCACATGGAATATCTTTGATTTCAAGAATAGGGGAGGAGCTGACGGTTCATAATTATTATGAACCATCAGCTCCTGAGCCCCTATTCTTGAAATCAAAGATATTCTGTGTGGCAAAGAGCCAATGCCATAGAACAATGAAGTTTACAGTAGTTCTTATGTGGAGCATTACTTTAATGTTTGTGTTTTTCTGATTTCATGTTTTTTATGAAATCATTTGATGTTGCAAAAATGTTCATGGTTTTTTATTCTCACTATAAAACTCACATGCAACAGGCTTATAGTATGCTACTTATGCCTTCAATGAAATCAAACCTAAAAGTTGTTCACAATACTTAATTATGACGAAGTTGTCTGCATGTAAATGAGGCCCTGAGGTACACCTGTATGTTGTGAGTATGTGGCAAGTGACATTCATAAGCAAACATAAACTTTACAAGCAGTTAAATCTGGAAGGCTTGGGAAATAATGCACACATGTTAAAGCATTTCTTAACAACTATTGAATATGTGGAAAAAGCTGGAATTCTTGCATTTCTTATGTTAACTACTCAAAGTAAATTAAATTCTAGCTTTTTCCAGTTTTCTTCAAGAAATGGAAACTAGAAAAAGCTGTCAATTTCTGGCACCACAAGGAATAAATAACTTTTTTCAGCTTTTTCCAGATTTTGAAAGAATATGAAACTTGCCAAAACTAGAAATAATGTTTCTGGAAAAAAGCTAGAACTTAAATCTAGAAGAAAGCTGTCAAATTCTAGAAAATTCTAGAAATTTCCAGACATTGACAGATTGCTAGAAATTTGTTTTGCAAGGGGAGTGACAGACCAGACTAATATTTCGCCGGTCAAAACGTCAAATTTACCGGACAATTGTCCGATGACCGACTGCTATTTGCAGCCTTGAAAAGGGGTCCAGAAATGCAATTTGAGGCATTTTGGGCACACTGCGGCAGGAAAAAATGTGTAATTTTTCTGTCAGTTTTTGTGCATATTTTGGAGTCTATAACAATAATTACAGTGATAACAAGATATTTATTTGTCTCCCAATACTAATACAATCATTACTTATTATTTCCCAACATTTAAATCCTTTTACTTCTCTCAGTGAATTAAAAGTGAAACCCATGATTCCAGCTCAGTAGACTCAATATACATAAGTTTAGTTGATCAAGTTTTTGAGATAACTGATCATCGTCTATATCAAACTCAACTCAAAGTCTGAATCAATACCAGATTCAACATCTCCCATATCCATGGCATCCAGTGCGTCATGACTCAAATCAGCATTGCTGGCAACTGCTTGAGCTACAACCTGAACTTGAGCATCAAGTTCAGTTTCCACAGTTACTTCACCATCTTCTTGGGCTCCAGTTCTAGAGGCCTGAAGGGCATCTGGGAATTCCACCTGTATACCAATGTCAGTCTTTGTGGCTGGACGGTGAAGACTGCCATCATGGTCTGATCCTCCAACCATTGGGAGCTTCTTAAGTGATGGCAGATTTCTGAAGTGCGTTTTTCTCCAGACTTTGGTTGCTTCTGTAAGCATCTCCCTGCACTCTTCAGTGTCATGATTAGGGCCATTGAGGGAAATGTGAAGCAGGCTGGCCATCATGTCATTCTTGAGTCGACTTCTCAACCTTGTCTTTACCCTCTTCACTGCACTTGCACCCCATTCCACAACTTCATTAGACATGGGCAGGGTGAGGCAAGTCTGAGCAGCATCCACAATTTGTGGGAACTTGATTCTGTGAGCCACCTGCTCTTAAACAACTTTTCTTAGAATGAACTCAGTTGGAGAATGGTCATCTTTCCCCCGGAGAACAGCAGAGGGTACCTTCCATGATGAAATCAGGCACTTGAAGTTGTACCACTGTGCAAGTGTGTGATCTTTGTCAAACTGGAACTGCTTGCACAGCATTTTTACTTCATCCACAGCATACTTCTTGAAGGCTGGGTCTTCTGACTTTGGAAGGCAGCTCGGATTGAAGATGGAAAATGCCTCAAGAACGGGTGCTGCCTCTTGCAATCTTGTATCTAGGTTCCTCTCGAGGGCAACTACAAGATTGTTCAAGAATGCTTCAACCTGGCCATCATCTTTAAGCTCCAGTTCCAAAGAAGCATAGTCCCCACTAGGCTGAATGGCTGTTTGAAACTCAAAAACAAGGTCAAAGGAGGACTAGATTTCAGAAATTCTGGATTTGGTGCTCTCAAGTGTAGGTCTGATGAAGGTGTAGCATGTGTGATCTTTTTGGAACACCTTGCTAAGGGTGTTGAGATGAGGTAGAACTGCATTCAGTAGAAGCATCATGCCAACAAACTTGGTGTTAGTCATTCTCTGGAGAAGACCTTGAGCTGTAGCATCAGCTTCCTTAAACTGCCTCAATGTCTGTATCAGGGCAAGAAGGTTTCGGCAGATGCTTGAAACACTTTGGCCAGTTGAAAGCCACCTTGTCCTGCAAGCTTTCTGTAACTTCACTGCCAGAGACTTGGACAGCTTTTTCTGTTTTGTGTGGTCATCATTAGCAGTAGCCAGCTTTATTTTCTGAAGTGACACACAGACCTTTACAAATGCTGAACAGCATTTTTGGTACTCCAGCCACTTCCACAACTGACAAAGGGTAACTTCGATGGTCTGGATGTACTTCACTGCATGCCAAGGCAAGCCGGTGGTTTATGCAGTGACTGCGTACCATGATGCTACACACTTTCTGAAGTCTGGCACCAACACCATTATTTTTGCCAGTCATGAAACTAGCGCCATCTGAGCCAAAACCACAAACTAAAGCAAGGTTTAGACCGCATGCTTTCAGCTCCTCAGTGATGATCCTTGTGAGAGTCTCAGAATCTGCTGATTCTGATGAATGAAGAACATCTTTTACCTCAAGAAAATCAAAATGTGTCTTCCCTTCCTCATCAACATAACCAATATAGATCAACAGGCGCTCTAAGGTAGCACAATCCGTCACCTCGTCAACTAAGATAGTAAACCACTTGGCATCCCTGACCCTTTGAATTAATTTCTCCTTGATAAGCTGACCAAGGCGGAGGCACATATCTCACTGACTTTGTTCACTTGTATTGTTGAACTCTCACATTTCCGTGACACCAACGTGCTTTTCTAACTCAATCAGAGAGAGAAGTTTCTCGTTGGCCACTTCTTCTTTTCCAAGCCAATAAGAGCTCAGGAATGCGTTGTAGGTCACTTTATCAGCCACTTCGTGAGCCACTTTGTACTTGTTAGCCAAGGAAGAATTCCTTCTCTCCAACTCACAGATTACTGTTGATGTATGTCCACTGCCTCTTTCATGGTCACGAACAGCGCTGTGCTTGTAGTTGGTGGATGGTGCTGAGTTGAAAGTGTTCTGTTTGTTGTACTTGTTTTTGGTGTTATGAACACGGCACAGAAGGCAGAACTTCTATTCCCCTTCACAGTATACCAACCACCACATGCCTAAAATTAAAACCAAGAAGAGGCGTTGTGGTCATTGTAAAAAGCAAAACTGAACTTATTATAGTCAACATTTTTATCATAAAATGTTTAAATATTGACAAAACATAATAATATACAGTATGTTTCATTTATATTTACCTGTTTTGTCACAGAATGAAGTTTTTCTGTGAGTGAGCCATGAGTGTTTGAAGATATCAACTTCCTTCCTTTTCCCTTCTGTTGTTTTTTTCTGGCTTTTAATTCTAGCCCTTTCAGCTTCAGATGTGTCTGAGCATTTTCCACAACAGGTGTAAAAGCTATGTAAGTGCTTCTTTTCCATGGCATCTGAAAAATACCTTTCTAACAGAGCAATTGCTTCTGGAGTTGGTAACATGTTCGGCACTGGAGGTGTGTTTGCTTTAAGGGAAATTGGACTTTGTTCTCCGCTAGCACTACAGGAATTTTGTATGCATTGCTGTTCAGAGGTAGTTGCATTCTCAAGAGAGAGTTGCTGAGTACTTGATGAAGCTAAAATGGTATGATTTGGAGTGGGGAAAAGCAGATGACATTTATTTTCATTTACTGTATTTTAAAAAAATTAAAATTTGTTGTGGCTGCCCTCGAAAGTCATACTTGGCATCCAAAGGAGTTTCGTTGTTATTCACAAGAAAAAGAGAAAAACTTGAATCGTCAGATCTTTCCTTTATCTCCAAATAATCTTTAACTCTTCAATTCTTCAAATAACAGTTCTTCAGGTAACAACTTAGTCTGCCTTACACGATACGGATGAGCGAAGGATTACATGGATTGTAAACCTAAATCACACATGTGATAAACAAGAACATGGCAGCAACTAGCACGAGTCCTAAGCAAAATGGTAACAACCCGCTGACCATAAATACTGAAAACTCCTTACTACAGCACTGCTGTAGTAACATTTGTTTTTTGAATAATTTGAATTCTTTCGTCAGGCGCGAAAACCAAAACTAAACGCGAACAGTTTAGGCTCGACTTTCAACATGGCCGCCATTTCTTGGTGGTGTGTTTATTCTTAACTGCGACAAGGAATAAAATGTAAACTCGTGAATATCTACCTTCGTTTTTAGAGAATGTTGTGTTTCTAAACCTATACGAGTGGTCCCATGCTTGGAAACCACCTTGGGATGAAGTTATCTCGAACAAACCTACAAGTTTTACATTGTGCAATTGAATAGCTGATCAGACACCTGGAAATGTATGCAGAGTTTAACCTGCTTTAAATAAACTTACCGATTCGTTCCTTGGGAATAAGGAAACTCGTTATTTTTCCTTTCTTTCCATCTTTTTGATTTTTCCACAGATTTTCGCTTTGACATCTCCTAAAGACTTGATGTAAATTTTCTTGTCGTAATCGTAAATATCCCGAAATTGTAATGTCGAATTGTTCGCATCCATGTGCTCTTTGAGAAGACAAACTCGTACGATGGAAATTAAATATTATAACACTGGAATTGGGTCCAAGTGTTATTACAGACAGGACCTTTATTGCGCCCGGGTTCGAAATGTTTTTACAGATGGGACCTCTAGTACACTTGGGTCCAGTTTACTCGTGGCTGCTTTTTTCATTTTCTTATGTATTGTTCCTAGGTGTTTGTTGTATAGTATGAGTTGTTTTGTCTCTTCCTACGACTCATTACAAAAATATTTTCTATGTATTCAGCTGAGTGTTTTCCTGTTGGAAGCTATTTAAAATTCTGTAGTTTGAATGCCAGGTCTGTGAGAAACAAATCAGCGGTCTTGGTTTCCTATGTTGAATTATCTGGAGCTGATATTTTCGCAGTAACTGAGACATGGCTCTCAGAAATTGATGATGCGTGCAGAGCCGAAATTACCCCACCCTGGTACAAGCTGTTTGATCACACACCCGATCTGATCGATGTGGTGGTGGAACTGCTCTATTGATAAGAGAAAATCTACATGCAAGTCGTGTAGATGCTGGTGAGCGTACTTCTTTCTAGTTTTCTCATTGGATGGTTGAGTTCCAGTCACGAAAACTACAGATTATTATTATTTACCGTCCACCCTGTAGTGAACTAAGGAAGACGTTTGCCGGAAAAATCAGGCTTTAATCACCAAATCTCATTCTATGCAACATGGCGGTAAAACTACAACCACGAGGATTGCAGGCTCTTATATAAGGACAAATCTCACTACATATATACTACACGAATTATCACAAAACTTGCAGTTCGAATGTTCCTAGTTCATAGCTCAGTTCGCAATGTCATCTACCACATTCACCCTGTCCTTAAAGATTGAGTCTAACTACTGGACGACAAATTCGTTGGGAGCGACGAACAGGTGCAGGTTCCACATTCCGTGCAGGTGTAAGTTCAGGTTGAGGTTCAGGTGGAGGTTCGGGTGCAGAAGATGGTTCTGCATCAAGCGAAACACCCACAGATGTGTCAACTGGCAAGTTCTCTGCTTCCACGGGAATACATTCTGGTGCTGGCTGGGTCTCAACAACTTGGCCCTTCGGCGCAAGGTGCTTCATGGCTACTGTTGTCTCCCTACCATCAGGATAACGTAATGCGCGTAGTGAGGGTTTGCTTGGAGTAGTTCCACCTCTTCCACCAGAGAGTCCATCTTGCTTGTGCGTACCTGACGTTTCATGTACAGTGGCCCAGGTGTCGCTAGCCAGGTAGGAATGGAGGCGCCAGCGGACGATCGGCGTGAGAAACCAAAGAATCGCTCATGTGGAGTTTCATTGGTGGCAGTACACAAAAGAGAGCGGACGGAGTGTAGCACATCCGGGAGGACATCTTGCCAGTTCCTGAGAGGTAGGTTCTTGGATTTCAAACTCATAGTAACTGCTTTCCATATCACACCATTGCATCTCTCCGCTTGACCATTTCCTTCTGGGTTGTAACTGGTAGTTCGACTTGAAGCCACCCCTTTCGAAGTCAGGAATTCGCGCAACTCTCTGCTCATAAATGAAGCTCCGCGGTCTGAATGGACATATGCTGGCATTCCAACAAGTGAGAACAGCGATGTAAGGCACTTAATAACTGTGTTCGTAGACACATCAGGGCATGGGAAAACAAACGGGAACCTGGAGTACTCATCAACAACCATAAGGAAGTACTTGTTTCCGTTATTAGTGGGAAGGGGGCCTTTGAAGTCGATGTTGATTCTCTCGAATGGCTGAGTGGCTTTGATAAGGGGAACCTTCTCTGGGCGATGGAACTGAGGTCTGCATTCACAGCATAC